CAGCTACATGAATTAAATTTGCTGCCTTGCCCACTCCCTGTGGTAGCAATAATCATTACATGTCAAATTTTCCCTACTATAATAAAATAACTGAACTCCCCTACTAAACCAATATTTTTAGGTGCCCCCCCCCCCCTTTTTGGTCAAAAATACCTCATGACCCAATCTTGTTCTACGAGTACAAGCATACTCTGGGAACGAGATTGCTCATGACCCACCCCCTTTTTCTGCCAGCCTACCCCAGTTCACTGGCCTACCCCCAGTCATAAATAATGAATGGTCCCTTATATTCAGGGGGGCTTAAAGTTGGAATGACCTGAGTGTGATGAATATGGTGGGCTTATACACATATCCTAGCTGAATCATACTGACATCACCTGATTCACCTTGGTCAACCTTTTTCACAGGCTTTATAGCCAAAGTGAGATACTTTCCAGAAGAGTATATTCTGTAAGAATATACACTATGTGCAATATTTTAGAAACTTTATATCCAGGTTTAATAAGGAAGTTAATATTATTATTAAATAGGATTCATAAACAAACACGAAATATTAGCCAAACTAAGCACTTTCCTCTATTGACAATTGAAGGAAGCTTTAGAAAAGAATATTTCTCATCAACTATCGACAAAAAGGAACAAAACAGTACAAAATATAAAGCTTTGTACCTTTTGTATCGGTTATAAATTGACGGTGTAGATTTCATTTCGCCGATTCATCCCCTTGGCTAGCCATACTCTTTAAATTTTAACCTTCGACAAGCAAATACATGTGAATAATATATATTTACTTAAATATTTTATTATTTTCACTATTAATACAAAAACAAGGCGCAGAATGCAAATATAAATTTGTTTTGTACACTGAAATTTCAAATTTCTGAGCCGTCTCGCACATATCTCGAACTCGCGGGACCGGCGCGATATTTTCCTGCGTCCTGATTGGATGATGCCCACGCATGCGCTACGTCTACAGTTATCGCGCATGCGTTAGTTTCAAAGGTTTGGAAACACCGAGCTGAAGCGTCGCACATGCACCGCACCGGGCAACTGAAACGTACTTATATACCGAATCGTTACCTTTATTTGTGTGTGGTAGTTACCGATCATAGGATCTTGCGAAAAGGGTGCCAGGCATAATGGTCTGGGAGCCGCCGGCACTCTCCCCCATCGTTCGTTCGATACCAGTTGGTAACTGAACCACTGCGGCCGCTGAACTTGGGGGGCATGTGGTTCCCCAATTCTTTTAAGCTTTTTCTAAAGTGCCCCATTCAAAGAATAAAAAAAAAATTTCTTGAATGAACGCCCTCTTTTGTGGAAAGAAAGTGCCCTTTTTGCAGTAGTAAAGACTCTGTAAAAAAGGCCATTTCCGACGTTATAGAGACTCGCCTCTTACGATATTAAACGTTGGGTTTAGCCAAAGAGACGGATTTGACCGAGTTAGCAGAGTCGGGAAGTATGGACTGATGGAGTACTTTTGTTTTTAAAAAAATTATTTGTAATTTACCGCTCAACCGATCTTCTGTTCTAATTTACCGATCAATTGAATTGCGACTAAAAAAGTTAGCAGTGTGTTTTGTGCTTTTATCTAACTTATAAAAATCTAAAAATGTACCATTACTACTTGTTTATGTCATAATAGTCTTATCAAATTTAAAAACACGATTAAAAACCTAAATTAAACTTTTTTATGTTCTATTGATAAAGTTTCACGCCAGGACACCAGCTATTTTACCATTTTGTAGGTACCTGTCTACTTTCTGGTCCGCCTTCATTTTAACCAATCAGATCACGATCCACAAAAGCTCGTAATCTGATTGGCTAAATGAAGTGATCCGTTAATCCCACCAAGCTTGGAAGAGTGGTACAGCGAAAGTAACTGACTAAACTGAGCCATGGCAAAATAAAATGAACTGCAACGGCAAAACAAAATAAACTCATGGGAAAATAAAGTTAACTCACGGCAATGATATAGGCACTTTAACAAGACGCTCGAAATAGCCTCCTCGGCAGGCATCTCCCATTCGCAGGCAGAGAGGCCTTAGATGGTACTACAATCGCGACTTTTGGGATACTAGTTCAATGGCTTCGACTCCCACCGTGATCAGACAAACTTTTCAGAGTAACATCGCAAACATCATTATATTCTTGTCGTTGAATCCTCAATGCCGTAAAAAAGCAGTTTTATTAAGAACGTATATTTATACTGGTTAAAATATTAAAAAGAATGGACCACAAATGTTTCGGGCATTTAATAGATAAATTTGCTCGCTTTCGCGGTCACGAAACAATAGCATTCTGTAATGTGCTCATGAGCATGCTTACTGACCAAAGTGCATAATTTTTGTGTGCTTATGAGACATCCCATATAGGGATTCTCATAAGCACGCCTCGTATATATACCAACATTCTATAATGTGCTCATGAGCATGCTTATGACCAAAGTGCATAATTTTCGTGTGCTTATGAGCCACCCCATATTGAGATTCTCATAAGCACGCCTCGTATATGTACCAACATTCTGTAATATGCTCATGAGCATGCTTATGACCAAACTTCATAATTTTGGTGTACCTATGAACGTGCTTAATGAGACACCCCATATAGGGAGAGATATTGAGGATTATCGCGATCGCTGGAAAAAATAACCAAGTTTTTCATTATTAAAAATAAATATGCCTCTCAGAAAGTTTGAATTGAGTAGTTTTGTTATCCACTAGGCATAGGTTCGGGCGTATTAACAATAGACCTTTCCGGTAATTACGACAATATATAGATGTACAATATAGAGGGTCTCCACAAAGAGAGACTTGGAGCAAGTCTAGTAATTACGTCACGACTACACTGTTCAACTTAGGACTGCCTTAAATGGAATGGATTTTAAGTTTGTTTTTCAATAAATGAATTTATAAAGAATCTACAAACGGAGCTTCTGAGTAAGTACTAGGTTATGTTTCAACTTAAAAATATGAACTTTCTCATGTGTGTTGATAAAATATGTAACTTTATCAGTAAAATTGTTTGTAAATATGTATGACTTTCTATCCATATACAAAATGTATGGTTCCAGATCTCTTTAGGTTGTGGCCTCCTGGTATTTTTAGCTTAATTAATAGTTATTTCAGGAGGTCACCAGTGACCCTTTAGTATATTGCAAAATTAAGGTTCGAATAGTCAAGTTGCTACGAACAAAAAGTTTCTGAAATATTGGAGTTTTTTTTCAATATTTGTATTGTATTCTTGCTATGAATATTCATATACTGACATCAATATCCATTTTTTTCGCAGCAAATTTTTACGTCATGTATGGTGAAATATTTCAGCATTCTGCATTCCAGACATTTCAGTAATACGGGACCGGTCATTAATTACAGGGGAGGGGGCTGGTGGAAATGAAAAATTTGATGCTAAAATTTTGTTGCCCCCCCTGGAGGACAACACAATTATACTTACCTACGCGCACACACACGCAAATAATAAAATGCACATTCGTAATTTAAAGTTCTTTAATATAAAGTAAAGCCACATTTAATCATACTGCCCTATCATAGTTGCCAACATTGAGAATAAAACATCCGTGAGATTTTGCTTTGGGGGGCCACCATAGTTGGCACCGAGCGGAAAAATTGAAAATATGGAGTCTCTAGATCGTTGGAAATGGCATTTTCAGAGTCTTCTATACCTTATACACACAACTTTTGGAAGAAAAAAGTTTTATGTAATTTGACGCAAATGAAGTCACTCTTTATAAGGCCACATAAAAAAAAATAGTTGGTTAGCGTCCCCGCCCGCCCACAAAAAAGGCCCCGCTCAGGATTTTTTTTTTATTTTTTATTTTAAAATACCCCGATTTTTATTGATCAACGAGCTCTAATATATGTAGTATTTCTGTTGACTGTAGTCAATTGTGTTAATAATTTGCGAAATTGTGTGCGAAAATGACGGTATGAATTATATTTTGAAATATATAAAAAAATATCTGTACTGCGCAAGAAAATCCAGCTTCGGACCTAACAGTGAGTAAAACCAAGGCGTTAAAAATTAGTAAAAATTTAAAAAAAAAGCGCCCGCCCGCCCACTTTTTGGCAAAAGCTAAGGACGCTAACCAACTATTTTTTTTTATATGGCCTAACCAACAAAGCCAACATATTTAAGAACCAGTTGGGTTATTTTCGAAATCCGTGAGAGACCGTGAACTATGCCCTATTTACTCATGTATCGTAATTTATATATTCTTTTATACCATTAAACATTAACTATTGAATCAACGGCTGTTCCAATGTACATGTTTATGTTGAAATCAGTTTAACAAATGGTGTTGTGTTGGAGTTTACTACAGTTTTATTGCTCTCTATTTTTATCTGTAATGGTATAACAGGGTCATGCGGGGCAGGTATTAATATTGCACAAAAATATCTATTCATGACGTGAGTCATCCACTGATTGCTTGAAGGAATATCTTGAAGCAGAAAGTCGTAGCCGGATAAAAAATTCAAGTCTCTTTCTAGAAACACGGCATTTTTATACGACGTTTTACTTACGATTCTGAACGACATACTGCCTTACTGGCATTGCGAATTTCGATTAGACGATTTATACTATATATTTATTAGAACTTTAGTCTTTACTGTAAACCATTTATTTCCAACGACTAAAATTCTGAATGGTGATAAGTCCAATTCCAAACTACGGGTTATACAACCATCAAGCATTTTTCCCAGCAAAAACAATTAGAAGTTTTACCCAAATTCTAACACAATCTAACCTATCTGATACTAGCTAAAATTATTGTTCAAAAACAACTCTTTAAATTGCCCCGTTGTCTAGCGCTAGCTTTAGAAGCTATAAAACGACCCCAAAACAATTAAATTCCAATAACTTCTTAACTTTTGTGGCAAAAAGAAATTTTCCATCTTATAAATAATTTATTATTATTGAAGTTATTTTAGGAAAATTCCCACATATTTCAGGGGGGTGCAACGACATTTTCTATGCTTCGATGGCTGCCAGATTGGCTGTGCCTCAGAGCAATACTCAAAATGTTTAATTTTAAAAGGGTTTATTGGGTAATATTTTGATAGAATTGCTTCTATATTTTTCGAAATGGCTTCTGTGAAAGTCGCAGTGCGTGTCCGTCCATTAAATCGAAGGTAAGAATGAGTTTTGTCGACTGTTGCGACTCACTTTGGGAATATGTTTTTGTTATTAATATCTTTCAGTAGAGAAATAATTCTTGATCTTTCCATTCTTTCGTTAGGGAAAACGAACTGAACGCAAAATGTATCATACAGATGCAGAATAATAAAACAACAATCTTTAATGCTCATGTAAGTATTAAAATCATCCATTTCCTTGAGAGAATATACTTTTAGATTAAGATCATGAGTTTATCTGTTTACGTGGATAAAATCTATTAATTTTTTTGTTTTTAAAATTTTGCCAAGGGAGAAGACGACAAGAAGGATTTTACATTTGATTTTTCATACTGGTCGTTTAATAGTCGCGATCGACACTTTGCTACCCAAGAAAGGGTAATATATTGTTTGAGGGTTATAATTTGTTACTTTATCTGACTTTGCCCTTGAACTTTAAATATTGCATTTAAAGATCTATGTATTTTCAGCAGTAATACATAATATTATATATGTATATATTATGCTTGATTATAGAAAACTGTTTTAGGCAGCATCCTATTATGCCGAGACAGGATGAAAATTTTCTACTTTGGTTTAGTGACTCTAGTCTAGCTCTGTTAATTATCATGGGATGACATATTGTACTGTACTAACATACTTTGTAGTGATTTTCACAAATTTAAAAGCTCCATATTGCCAATAAAAATTAAAGCTGTATATTTTCATGAAAGTTGTATATTGCCAAAGGCACACAATAATTTTAAAGCTAATAAGAAGTATTTTAGTTGCAACATAGCATTTCTGTGCAGTAAAAGTCAACCAAAATATGTATGCCTTCCTAGCAATATATGACATCTGCTATAATTAAATCTACTATTGTTGCTATACACTGATATTGGCTTTACATTTTATTATTCATAAATAATGATTGTGTTAATACACGTTTCCGGAAAGTTGTCACCTTGGCTATAGGATCTTGTTTTCAAAATTGAAACGTTCTGCTTTAGCTAATGTCACATACATACACGAAAACAAGGCCATATAGCCAAAGTGACATACTTTCCAAGCCTTGAATTATATGCCGGACATTTGTTGGGCTGAAAAAGTCGGTTTTGTCAGGCAAAACTTTTGATCTGCCAGACATTTTGTCCGGTGGAAGATTTTTATTGCCACATAAAATATATCTGGCGATAAAATGTATATGTCGCCCATTTATGCTATTTATCATGTCATATGTGTTCTAACGTAAGCCATTACTGATTACTATGCACAGTGTGGTGCCGTTATAAGTGCTTAGCCCATGAATGGTTTTGTAAAAAGTAGTTTAGAAATGATGAAATACTAATACATTTTTACTGTCAAATGACAAAGATAAAGGGCACCTGATCTGGGGTTCCAGGAATAGTGCGATCACCGAGGAACGGTTTAATCTGTGTAATATGTGAAAAATCGGACTGGAACATAATGTTCGGAAAATATGTATTTCAAGGCTTGCTTTCTGAATGGGTGCATTGATCTAGCCTGCCCACCTACAAATTAAATTTGTCATATTTTTAGATCTGACTGAATAAACATTACTGGTACACTGCATGTACAATGCAACATCCCAAATATTTCTCCATGCACAGCATACTAACACAAATAAATTTTCTGACAAAAAATAATTTTCTGACAAACAAATCATTTCTGAACTATAGGCTTGGTTGCATGTGCAGCAACCAATTTCCTTAATGCAGCCTCTTCTAAAAGTGGTATTTTATTTAAATAGAAAAATCCCTGTTAAGTTTATAGACAGGAGGTATATTTCAGGACTTGAAATAACAGTTGATCACTGATCCATGATCGGCAAGGAGTTGTTTATGATTGGTGGAAAAACAGGTTTTTCAACCAGGATAAGCAGGGAAAGTCATGACTGCCCGATCACCATGATCAGGAACTTTGGGAACCTTATTTCAAGTCCTCGTATTTTATCTTGCAGGTGTTCAAAGACTTGGGAATTGATGTTCTTAATTCAGCTTTTGA